ACCTTTTCCCCTCCCCCCCCCCCCCCCCCCCCCCCCCGCCGACACATCACCGCCAAACCTAAAGACGGACATGGAGAGCAAACGAGTAGTCTCGCGAGCTAGAGCGGAGCACTTCGCGACGGAAGTGGGGGGAATTATTTGCGAAACGAGTGCGAAGGAGAACTGGGGCGTCAACGAGCTTTTCGCGAGGGTATGATACGGCGATGTTTTCTTTTGTTTTTGGTGTGTGTTGTGTGCACGCACACAGGCTCTGCGGCTGAGAATTTTTGTTTTTTCGATGCATAGATGTCTGATCCCTGCCCATCCCTTCTCGATGCCAGTGTAGCAGTGTCTCCCCCTCGAGACCGCTCTAGGAGAGCCATCACGCAGAAGACTTCCTTACTCTGAACCTTGTCCTTGTAGTCACGAAGGAGCTAGACTGCGGTGCAAGGGAGGCAGGAACAACTTGTTGGGGAAATTGACGGGAAGTGGTTATGAAGTCTCTTCTCGGTAGATTACTAAGGGGGCGTGACCCCGCACAGGGAGGGTGCAGGAGGCGTGTGTTCAAGGTCAGAAGTAAGCTATCACGCGGGAACAAGAACGAAGAAACACACACACACAAGGAAGAAACAGGTTTTGAGTCGTTTGTGGATATGACCTGGCTACGCGAGTACCAATCGTCGCACCCGAGCGTGCTCGGTCAGGATATCTTTCGCTCGCCGCCTACACCTGTTGTACCACCGACTCTCTATGGTTAGCCTCCTAATCATATGGACCAGGCGCAAGTCTTGAGGGTGTACAATCACTTGTGTGATGTTTCTCTGGCGAGCATGACGCAGTTTCTTCGCCTATCGGTGTTTCTTTGGGTTGTTTGGATGCTTTTTGCACCCTCTTTTTTGTGACCACGGGAAGCATTTTCTTCCGGGTTGGCATTTGTTCGAAACCGAGCACATGATACGTACCAAGATTGCGAGGTTTGAGGTGGAGAGGCGCCAACGACGGACAACAACACACCGTGTAGAAGCATTTTCTGTTTTCAGCCGCACTGAGACTGACGTCTGTTCATTGGTCAGGCGGTAATATCGCCGTCGATGCTAACAAAAATAACGCACCATATCCGTTGCAGGTTTGCGATCGAGCGATGGAAACGAGGGGTCCTGAACTCCGAGGCCAGGCGTCAGGGGGGGCAGCGGGGACGGGGGGGCGGAAGAGCAAGTTCGGTCTCTCTCCCGCCGCACATGCCGCAGGTTTTGGAGGAGATACCGGGGCGGAAAGCGGGGGCGGCTGTTGTGGCTGAACCTTTTGTTGTTTTTTGAAACAAATTTCCGACCTCTCGGCCTCGAATTTTTTTCACGATCGAAGGTTTTTTTACTGCGTATTCTTGTCTCAAGTAATTTGTGAAATAGGAAAAGGGACCTTAACGGGCATAGGTTTTGTTGGTCGGGCTGGCGGGTCGAGCGATGGGTATCTAGTTGCCACCAGCAGCAAGAGTAAGAGAAAGAGAGACAGAGTTCTCGAAGTTTGAGCACGACTGGCTTGGTTGGGGGCATTGGATGGATCGGCCAAATAGTTTGGCTGAACTACCGGAAGTCGTGTCTTCTTTTAGCGCGCTGCCAGGCATACCGCAAGACACGTTCATTCTCCCGCGTGTAAACGCCCGGGTGTAAACGTCTGAGTGTGCGTGTGTGTTGCGCGTGCACGCATCGTTTTCGGGTGCTCATCGAGCAGCTCACGGCCTGGAGAAAAAACGGTCGTTTTTATTTTCCCACGCCACTCTTGTTACACCCGTATCCCTTGGCGTCGCGTTGTCTCTCCTAGCTTTCCGAAAGGGGATGCTTGGGACGGCCGTCTTCTCTATCCACCTTGCAAGATCTGAGACCTGCCTTGACCTCGTACTTACAATAAACGGAAAAGACATTTTGAGTGCCCGCAGTTTTCCTGTTGGTCAACATTGACGCAGTGGATTTCTGATTGGCCTGCTGTCTTACCTACATGTAGCGTTCACTCGACGATGTTACACATTCACCCGTTTCACTAACGACATATGAACAGCATATAAAGCTCTCCTCTCCCCCCTCATCCCGGTTTCCAAATCTTGTCGGACTTGTGTGCGCGGTTGCAATAGCGGAAGCCCCCATGCTGCTGCTGCTGCTGCTGCTGCTGCTGCTTCTGCAGCAGCGCGAGCTTGGTTGTGGGGGGATAAAGGTGGCTAGCGCGCTAGGCTGGGCCGATTTTGGCTAGAGGCGTTTTTTTGTGGAGGGAGGGAGTGTCGGCCAACTTGTTGGTTTTCGTAGCTCTTGGACTCCGAACACCACACCACACCGTAGCGTGTTTTCCTGTGCGTGGTAGAGTCTGTGGCGTGTTTCCAGCGTTCATTTTTTCGTGGGGGAGGGGGGGGCGTGGAGGGTCAGAAGTAACATTCGGCCCGAGTGCGAGGTGTGAGTGTGTGTCGTGTGCCTGTCTTGTTTGTTGCCTCAAGTCTATTGGGCGACTAAACCACGCGTGTCAGTTGAAACGGGGAGGGAGGGGGGCGGGGGGGTTTGAAAGGGTCATCTCAATTTGAAGCAAGCACACCAACTCCTGAAGCGTGATTTCAGCCCACTTCGGTCATCTGTGGTAAACACGGGTGGTTCATTCCCCCCTTGTAAAGCAAGAACAGGCCATGCAAATGCGTTGTTCTGGAATAATCCAATCACATGACAGACGGAAAGGAACCGCACAGAAGCGTCCGGTTCTGCCGTAAATTCTGCCGTGATTGCACGATGAGGGTAGTGAACAGCTCGCTCTGTCACCTTCATGGTGGCACAGCTGCTACCAAAGCCTGTGCTGAGATCCTGTTCGCCTCCCTCTGGGCCTTCCAGTTTAGGTGTTTTGGGTGCTTGCTTGTTGAGCACGAGGGTTTTGTCGTGTTTTGTCATCTACAGCTTCAGAGACCAAGCCGTGTGCGTGCAACTCCTCCTTGTTTTCCTGGAGTCACTTCTCTCAAAACACCGTCGTCGTCGTAAACGGTACAGGAGGGGGCCGATTGAGCGTTCCCCCCAACTCTCCATGTTCGTTGTATGTTCGTGCTTTCTGGGCAAGTGGTACAACGCGGGCCAATCTCCCACCGCTAGGGCAATCAGTGATATGGTCTCCTCGAGGTGATGCACTTTCCCCTACATGTACTAACCTAAATAACAAAGCGCCGTCCTCTACGGCGGCAAAGTGTACAACCGGGAGAAATACAAAGACCTTGACGGGGTGTTTACCCCGCGCTAGCCCCCGCCTTAGCGGGCGAGGAGGGGAAGGTTTCCACGGCAGCCAACGCTTGGCCGACAGCCTTCGCCCACCCCTCCATCCCAGGCTTCTCAGGGTAAAAAATCGCCGACTCGGCCCACCCGGCCTCTCGGCACGCCCGCGCGCTTGTCTCCCCGATGCAAGCGGCCAGCGCCCCACCTCCACCGCTTTCCCCCCCGCCACTGCCTTCTGCTCCAGCTCCCCCTACACCTGCGGCGACAACCCCCATCCGCGCCGCCCACGTCTTGACTGCGCTGGGGCTCCCAAACGCCGCCACCGACGCTCCCGCCGCCGCCGCCTCGGCGCTCTCGTCCCAGGTGGCCGGCACGGTGTCGTACGTGTTGAGCCGGCGCACCTCGAAGCCCCTCGCCCGCAGCCCGGACTCCAGGGTATTCTGCGCCTTTGCGGAGGCCGGGTAGAGAACTCGAGGGCCGCCTCCCGGCGACGACGATCCCCCTTCCCCTCCTGCACCCGTTGTTTCTTCCGCCTCTGATGGTGCCGCCGCGGCGGCCGCAGTGTCATCGGCGGGGGCGGAGGGGGGAAGAGGTATCTCCGCCGCCAGAGTCTCGCCGGTCGCCTTGGACGGGGTGAACACGGGAGAAACTCCGCCCGCGCGGAGCGCGTCCCCGGTGGCCTTGCCGACGCAGGCCACGGGCACGGGCACCCCGGGCACCCCGGCCTTCGCCCAGCCGGCAAGGAACACCTTGGCCGCCTCCGGGGAGGTGACCACGACGTACGCGAGGCCCGGGTCGGCGAGGGCGGCGGGCAGCAGGGGCAGGTCCGGCCCGTCTTGGTGCGCGATGCAGGGGACCTTGGCAAAGGAGGAACGTTTGTTTTTCCGCGTTGGGGGTGTGGAAGGAACGTATTAATAGTAGTCATTCTTCACGAGTGCGTAAGCTAAGATTGCTATTTGGGGGTTACATTACTGCCGCGCAAGTGTCGCGATGAAAAAGTTCAGCAAGTTGTTGTTTTGTGGTGCAGTGCAAGGGCTCGGGGGGGGGGCTCATAGGAGTAGACTAATTTGTCAGCGATTTCGCCACTTGTATGCTACACCGGTGTTTACGCGGGGGGAGGGAGAGTGGAAGAAGTCCATCTGGCGTTGCTTGCTTTGTGGCGGTGCCTGCCCAAATTCTCTCCGCATACATCGGTACATCCTCCTCGAACCCCGCCCACATGCCACACCTCAACGCTGGAAATGCCCGCATCCGTTAGGAGCTTCGCAAGCTTTCCGTTCTTTCCGGCCTCTCTCGTTAGAGCCACCTCCGCGCCTGGCGTGAAAAGAAAGAGACCGGACCAATCGACGAGGGGGAGCGAGCAACACCGCAGCGTGTTAAGGTGGGTTTTCGCGTGCCGACAGAGTGATCGTAAGAATCGTCACGAGACGAAACCGTGGTATACACTAACAGACTCTACGCTTCGTCGTTTGCATGCTAATGGGCGGGTGTTGGCATCGCAGGCAGGCGGGTTCCGGAGTTGTAAACTCTGCCGCATGTGCGCCTGAATGTACCATGCCAACACTGTGCGTCATATGGCGCAGGTGGCACAGGGCACACGCCGTATCCGACTCGTGGAGAATCGCCGTTGCGGACAGACAGGCGTTTATTGTATCGTCCGACCATCTACAACCGGGTCTACCAAGACAGAAGGCTCTACATCGGTCGGCAGGAGAGCAGCAAGCCCTAAACGCTTGAACGCGAACTACAAATACACCAAGTAATGAGAACAACGAGGGCTACAGACAGTATTTCGTTGTACGGCCAACGTTACATGTACGGCCAACGTTACATCGCGATCAACGGCGCAGGTATCAACACTCGTTGGTCGTTCTCGTAGATGCATGCAACACCCTATTATTGTACTGCTGTAGTTTGTTCACCTCGGGAAGCACACCCACGAGCTGTGCTGGGCCTTGCGTGGCCAACTGTCTCGCCGCGGCCGATGATACCGCTGTGCCATTCCGGCGAACGGCCGAAGTGGCGCTGGTGCTGTTCATGTGCGATCCGGATGGAGTTGAAGCTAACAGCCAGCGGTAGGCAAGCAGCTGCGACCAGGGCAACCGCCGTTGTTGACGGGCGGTATGCGGACCTGCGCGTTTCAGAACAATGCGATAAAATATTAACCGGGTGTATGGTAAACGAGAGATAGGCAGAGACAGCAGGAGAGAACGAACAGAGGCATTCATCACTGTTGTGGGAGTAATTGCGGCGGTTCGGGGGCTTTTATTGGGAACATGCGATCCCGGAGGGAAGGATGCGCATGATATCATGATGATACCCGTAGTCGAGTACAGCCATACAAACACATCAGTTACCAACTACTGTACTCAGCACTTGAGCGAGCACATTTTCTTTGCTCCCTCACCTCATGGACCTGTGTCCGTGGCAGTGGCTGTCACAGCAGAGCTGCACACCGCAGTCCAAAACAAGCAGAGGTGTGCTTGTGTGTCTGTTGTACGCGGTTCCGAACCACATACACTATATTTCCTAGCTGCGTGTCCCCCTCCGGTCCTCCGCAGTCTTCCGGTCCTCCGAGTCGCTTCGACCATCATAATGCACCTCACCATGCATCTTGCCATGGTCCGACGTATATCAGGCGCTCGTGCCTTGGCAGGTTTGTTAGTTCTCTCATCGTTGGTGCAGCTTTCTCGAGCCTTTGGCGGAATCTCGGGCAGAACGACGGCAACATCAACAGCAAGAACGAGCGGTTGGAGGCAGCATCATGCACACGGCGGTGGCGTCCGCCATAGATCACTTTCGCCTATAGTTGGATTGCCGCCGCGGGTACCACATGGGCTTCGATCGGAAGCTGGAGACGGTGGGCAGGGAGGAGGCGGTGACGGCGGTATTTTTGGAGGTGGGGCACAACCACAGACCAAAGAGATGCGGCGCAATTAAAGGCTCCGTTCATGTTGTTGCCACCCAGCACGCTTCGCATTCATGCGGCGGGTCGCGTGATGCATGTCCCCTCCGTTGCCTGGTGCATGAGCATCAAGGCTATGTACAGAACCACACAACCTCAGCAGCAGTTCGTTTTGCGTCCATTCGCACACACAGACCAAGGATAGCATTAGTTGGTATATGAACATATGAACATGACACCCAATCAAGAAGACGGGGCCTCGCACGTCTACCACCGTGCCTGGACCAGCGGACCATGACGGAGTGGCGTTCCCCGCACTACGTACTGCTGGGGTCTCTATGTACACCATTTTTATGTGTTGTTGGTTGTCGAATCGAACGAAACTCAAAGCGATCGATGTTGAAGTAAATAAATTGTGGGGTCGAAGCTTGAGGTAAGGGAATTGCGCTGGAGGCGCTACTTGAGGCAGTTTTGGTATTTGCTGAGATCTTCTGTTGTTGGCTTCGTTTCTTACCGAAGCGTACGCGGTGTACGTAACACGGATCCATACCATGCACAATTTTGACAATGCTCTCCGTGCTGTGCGTATGCGTGACGGAGATTTCGTGCCAAACAACCTTGTGTCATATCGCTCGCAAGATGTATCATATAATGTCGAATAGAAACACAAATCTCGTACAATTGTAGACTACCGCTATATGGCAGCGGCGGACCGATCAACCTACACACGTACAATCCTAGGTTCTCGAGACCGGCCATCTCCTTGCGTTGTGAGCTTGCAGTTTCAGTGGCCACATATCATCGTGCTCGAACTTGAGTTGGTGCCCAAGTTATCCGATCCGATCCACACATCTGCCAATCGTTCCCAGAGGCCTCACCACGGGGAAGGTCGACGCCCAGAGAACACAACTTCTCTCGCGTCGCGTTCTGATATCTGACTTGACATGTACCAAGTAAAAATCGGGCGTGAGTAGTCCACAACCGTTGGGCTTGGATCACAAAAGTCTACCTCCCCCTCTGTAAACACGGCGCAGCGCAGCGCACTTGCCCAACCGATCGACCCACTCGCACAACCCAACAGCGGCAGTAGCTCTCCACCTACCTACCAGCAACCCCCCCTGACAAACACGGCACAAATACCTCCAACAGGGATCCAAGAGTGGTGGGAACGAGACGGCAAGTCCGACCTCAAGATCTACGGCACTTCGCTGGCGCTGGCGCTGGTGGTGAGGTCGGTGGCCCTGGAGCCGCGCTTCATCCCGTCCCTGTCCATGTTCCCGACCTTCGAGATTGGCGACCAGCTGGCGGTGGACAAGCTGTCGAGCAAGCTGTCTCGCCCTTACCAGAGGAAGGACGTGGTGGTGTTTTACCCGCCGCCCAAGTTCAGGGAGTTTTCCGACAGGGGGAAGAAAGACGTGAGCCAGAGATAGGGGGGGGGGGGGGGGCATGCCGTAGTCGTTAGACCATTGACCTCGCGAGAGCAGGGGGAACGGGTTGGTTTCGCGGCTATTAGCGGACCGCAGCAGCGCAAGGTGTTCTGCAGGGAAAGACCACGCTATTTGTTTTCCTCTGGAGTCGTTTCCACATGTGCGCGAGCGCGGTTCCCCCGATATGACCTCTTGCTTTCGCCCCACGGCGGGATTTGTTGGTTGGGTGCGCAGGCGCTCATCAAGCGCGTCATCGCCGTGGGCGGGGACGCGGTGCAGATCAAGGATGGGTCGCTGTTCGTTAACGGGCAGGAGCAGTTTGAGGACTACACTTTCGAGGTGCGCATGGCGTGTGACACTAAAGGGTTTTCGTGCCTCCTGTCGCCCCGCACAGTATACCGACTTCTTCGAGAGACGTGATGAATGTACCCATGTGCGGTTGGGTCTGAATCTACGTATCTGTGTACATTCGCACACTTACACCCCGCGACGTGTAGCAAGCGAACCTTTTTTCCGCACAACCGAGAGGTTTGATTTGGTTTCACTATAGCAAGTTGGCTTACCGGATTATTTGTGTTGGGCTCGGATCGATTCGTACGTGGTCGGACTTCCTAAGACCCCCGTGTCGAGGCAATGTAGGCAGGCGTTAGGATGACACGTTTTATTGTAGCCGGGGTGCGGGTTTGAGGAAGATGCTATTTGGCGATGTGTAACGCATGCGATTGCATGTTGCGGGAGACAAGGCAAGGCTGGCAGCACGGGCAGGATACTCTTGTCTCGTGGTGTGTGAGCGGGAGCGGGGGGGGGAGATAGGCCCGTTTTTCACAGTGAGAGCAATGAACCGATAACGCGGCTGCGATTACACAATACTGTCTCGTGGTTACAGACTCGAACGGCCATTAACACCGATCACATATATACGACCGGCATCCATTTGGCAAAGCACCGGAAGGGGGGAGGGGGGGAGGAGAGACTGATAGAGTGCAGCAATATGGAATCGAAGGCAGAGACGCTGAGATATGAAAAACGTGCAATAGGCAGGACGGGAAAGGGTAGGTAAGGCGGGATCGAAACGACTCCGAGCGAAGCCGCAACTCGAATCTCACGAAGTTGTGCCGGTGCAGTAGACGGAAATTCACGCTACCAACAACATGCACCGCTCTTGCAATTCCGTATCGCACGTTAAGTCAAGTGCTGGTACAGCAGTACTACAGTGCGTGGAGAGAAGCACGGACAGCAAAGCGGCATCTGCTTTCTTGACGAGGCAGTACTTGTAGCAAAGACGTCAACAAACGCGCACACACCCTGTTTGCTCTTTTTGTTTGTTGTTTGTTTGTTTTCACGCCGCCCCCTCTCCGCAGGAGCCGGAGTACTCGTGGGGTCCGCAGACGGTCCCGGAGGGTATGGTGATGGTCCTCGGGGACAACCGGAACCACAGCCTGGACTCGCACATCTGGGGGTTCCTGCCGACGGAGAACGTGATCGGGAGGGCCATCTTCAAGTACTGGCCGCCGTGGAGAGCGGGGACGATCGAGACGTAGTTATTGTATTGTACTAAATAGAACCGCCTTGAGGTGGGGGAAAGGCCCTCGACCTCTTAGATCTGAGCCTTTTGTGAGGTACCCACACATGTCGTAGGTCAGGTGTTGACTGCCAGGTCTTCTTTTTTTCATCCCAGGGAAAACGTGGCAGACCCTGCGTGCGTGGCGAGAAGAAACGCTTTTTTTTGTTTGCGATGCTTTCGGGAGGATAAGTCTAGACTTTCGTCCACCACGGCTGCTTCAAATGCGAGCGAGAAGAAGCAGCGTTCTATCTAGCCTAGGTAGATGGATTAGAGTGAGTTTTTGAGGTATTTGATGTTGCCCCAGAGGGGGGACTAGCCTATGTATTCACAGCTGGGGCTTTCTTCAAGTTGTGAAGTTTTGGGGCCACCGAGTCCAAAGCACGCCCCAAGTTCCGGTTCGTGAGGGCTCTTTGAGACCGGAAAAGGAGCTACGGCGGCGGGGGGGGGTCGATACCCACGAGCCCCCCGCGATGAACGATGAGGAGGTGTTTTTGCTGGAAACTTCAACTTGTGACCGGGGAATCGCGGATCGACCTGATGTTGTGTGAAAAGAGGGAATCGTCCTCGACAGGCGTTGGGAGAATTAATGTAGCCCTTTGAAGGTGATCTCCACAGCAGTTGCTTTCCAAGGATGATTTCCTTGAGGGAAGAACACAGGCCGATTTCCACACCTCCTACCTCCGAGTCGAGTATATGCTCCGTCACGCACGTTTTTTTTGGCCGCGTGTTCTGCTGCTGTGACGAGAAGTGAGTCTTTCCAGCCGCGCAACACGCTTCCCCCATGGGCGACAGGGTTTTGAGGCGACAGCAGCTAAGATCGTGATTTAGCGGACGAAGAGCATGGCGCAGCGTGCAGGACGGAAAGCAGACTACGGGCAAAAGCCGGCACGTTTGCGTCGAGCTCTTGCACGACGTTCGTCCCGGGTGCGCCGTCAATTCCTACGCACCCATCCATTTTCTTCCAGCCTAAGGACACCCAAACCTACGTTTTTGTTGTTCACTTGACCTATCGTACAGCTTTCTTTTCGGAGGTTCGGCCGTCGGAGATAACGTCACGCGGCCGCCGTAGGTGGACGCAAGTACCATGGTGGGCGCAAGTCTACAGACTTATCCTAACATCGCATCCCACACGAAAAAAAAGTGTTCTTCTCACCACCACGCAGGGTCTGCCACGTTTTTCCCTGGGACAAAACAAACAAGACCTCGCGGTCAATAACTACCTTCTAATAGAGGGTAGGTACCCTACGAGAGGGGGCTCCGATACAAAAAGCCGAGGGACTTTGTCACACCACATTCTGATACCGGAGCCATGACTGCTGTACACGGTTTACACGAGGTGCTCAAAAAGGGGAGGGATGCTTATGCCCTACATAGTTGCAGCGCAGGCGGCGTTAAACTTCTTAAGATGCTCATCAAGGGCTGCGAACGGCGCTACCAGCAACAACGGCATCGACCCCACGACTCGAAACCGAGAACCAGCGTCGCGGTTACAATGGACCTGGGTTTGCTCGCAGGTTTGTACCCCTCCCCCCAAAAAAAAACAAAAACGAGTATATTTACCAAGTTTATGAGTTCTTGCATACAACGAAAGCTTTCGACAGGCCCATCCCTCTAGATCACGGGCCGAGCCCGTGATTCTGTACACGCCTTCGGCTTCGCTAGGCAAGTTGAAGCAACACCTTAAAGACAAGTAAATTCGTATTTCGGTACAAAGGGACAATTTTTCCGACTCTCGTAGATATGAATACAAAAAACCTTCAACAGGTGTGATTTTTCCAGCCAAAATCACCCTACATACCATACGTAGGCACCACTTAAAACCACCCCAAAGGCACCAAAACCTCGGTATGTTGCACAGGCGCAAAACAGCCTACCCGAACGGAAAGGAAGCGCACGCACGATAAAGTGCAACGAGAAGGAAGTCCGCGTCCTCCTCTCCTTCTCCCGAGCCCGAACACCAAACACTTCAAAAAAACATCCGTCTCTGTCCTACAAGAGCTGCTGCGACCCTTGCGCGGGGAGGGGGAACGACGGCTGATCCGCGGCAGGCTCGTCGCCGTCTCGAGGGTTGCTCATACTCATGTGTGATCGCCCACCGTATCCACCCCCGCCCCCGGCAATCTCTTCCTCTCCGAAGGCATCCCACCCGGCGGAGGCGGCGGCGCCGGCTCCCGCCGTGGCACCGCCGCTCTTGCTATGGGAGAGGTCTTCGAACGTGGCCACGCTTTCTTCGCCGCCACCGGGGAAGCCCTCTTCTTCTCTGGGGTGGTCAAACGGCGCGCGATGCCGCCGCTCAGCAGTCACCTGCCGCATCTCTACCTCCGCGTTCTCCGGAGAGAGCGGGGACGACGACGCCGATGACCCCCGCTTCTCTCTCCTTTCTCGCCCTCCACCGCCGCCGCCGCCGCCGCCGCTCCGCCCCGGTTCCTGTTCTCTCGTCCGTAGCTTTCGGTACGGGCTGCCGCCCTCTCGGAAAGCGGCCGCGACCGAGCGCGGCCATCCTGCCGCGCGCCCCGTCTTGCTGCTGGTACCGCTCCGCCGCAGACCTGCCGAACCTTTGCTCAAAGACCCGGAGGCGCGGTCGTTCCACTCCGGCGGCGGCGACTTCTTGCCCCGTCGGAACGAGCGAGTGGTTCGCATGCCGCCGCCGTCTTCTTCGAAATCGATCGGCTCCAGCGACTCCGGTGGCGGGTGCGGCCTCGTCCCGAACGCGATGGCGCACTGCTTCGACACGTAGCCCACCATCAGGATGCACGACAGGACCACGAAGATCGGGGCGATGATCAGCAGCCAGAGGCTAGACCCCTGAGACAGCCCGGTAGTGCTCGACGCCCCGCCGGGCGGGTCCGCCGCCGAGCCCGCCGCCGCCCCCTGCCCGGCCGCCGCTTGCTGCGCCGTAGGGGCCGGGGTCTGCGACCTCTCCCGCACCACCCTCTGGATGTCGAGGAAGAGGTAGTTGCCCGGGGAGGCCTCGCTGGCGGCCACCGTGCCGACGATGTAGGCGAACGACTCGCCGCCGCCGCTGCCGCCGCCGCTGCTGCCCGACGATACCCCGTCGGCGGTGCCGATGGCTATCGCCGTCTGCCGGTCCGCCTTCTCCGACGCCGAGTACCAAGCCCAGCTCCCGCTCGTGTCCGCGGCCGCCGTGAACCCGGTGCTCGAGTGCGAGTCCGCCGCCGCCGCCGACGTGTTGTACCCCACCACGACGATCCTCGCCTCGTTGCCCACCGCGGCCTGCTCCTCCCCCTCCCCGGCGTCCCCGGACGGCCCGGGTGCCGCCGCCGCCGCGCCCTCCGCCGCGCCCCCCACGCCCAGGCTGAAGTCGTACTGGCTGCCCTCCACCACCGCCACCGACTGTGCCAGGTGCGGCATCCCTGTCTCCTCACCCAGGTGGCTGAGCCACGTCTGCGCTCCCGTCGACCCCTCGAACCGAGCCAGGAATACCGAGGGGCTGTCGCCCAGCGTGTAACCCGACATGTAGACTACGCCCTCGCCCCCGCTCCCGATAGATGGCGCGAGGTCGACGGCGTAGTGGGCGGAGGTGGAGTTGAGCCTCGCCGTGAACTGACAGGGGTTTGGGGGACAAAGAGATGTCGTGTGAGAATGATGTTTTGAGGGAACACCGTACAAAAGGTGGTGGCGGTCGATGGGGGGTAACACTGGCGGTTGGGCGTGGTCTACGAACTAAGCACTACATAGTAAACTAAACACCACAGGCGCTTAACCGCGGGGTAAAGGGCTGAAGAACGTTGCTTCAGAGGAAGTCGGGGAAGGCTTTGACCAGACGCCAACAACCCTCACCTCGGCTTCGACAAATTTACCAGAGAAACAAGCCTCGCGGGAAGAGCGGCTTAACGCGACCTTCGCAGCAGCAGGTATGTGTTTCTAAACAACTGACGCAACAACAGCGAAGTCTGCACGAGCGCTGGCGACGCTGAGACTGCGGCACGGCAGACGCAGCAGTACTCGCTGGCCAGGTCTCCCGGCGCCCCTTCTTCCGTGCAGTCTATAATAGGACGGCGAAAAACAAACACTGACGGCGCGATTTATGGTGGAAAACCCACAGCGACACACATATTACTACGGACAGCCGCCCCCAATCACACGCACACACACACGCACACACACACACACACACACACCTGCGCGTTGCCGAGGTAGTCGTACTTGGCCAAAAACGCCCGCGGGCCCGCCAGAGACGAGTCCGCGTCGTCTCCCAGCTGCCCGACGAGGAAAACGCCTCCCCTGGGCCCGACCGCAACCCTGTTCCCGACGTCCACGGCAGAGCTGCCGAACTGCCGAGTCCACTGCATCTCTCCGTCCGCCGCGTCCAGACAGGTCAAGAACACGTCCGACATCCCCGCGTTCGCCCCGGCGGTGGCGGCGGAGGCGTCGTCTTCCTCCGCCGCCGTGGCTTCGGAGCTCCCCGTCGCTACCCCCCCCGCCGCGTCCCCTCCCCCCCCCCCTTCCGGCGTACCATCGGAGTACATCGAGCCCCGGGTGGTGCCCACGATGTAGACGAGCCCGGAGCCGCCGTCTACCGCCAGCCCGTTCCCCAGGTCGGGCTCGGAGCTGCCCCAAGAGGTCTTCCACAACACGCCTCCCGTGGAGTTGTACTTTACCACGAAGGCGTCGGTGTCGTCGTCGTCGGTGGTGGTGGCGCCGCTGCTGCTGCTGCCGTTGCTTGAGCTCCTTGGGACGGACTCTGTCCCGGCGAGATACACGCCGGTGGAGTCTGCAGCGACCGAATTGCCTAGGTCTTCTCCGCTTGATCTGCATACATGGTGCGGGGGGGGGAGGGGGGGGGGGGGGCGAAGAAAAAGGAATTAAGTGGTGGTGCCCAAAAACCAAATTCCCCCTAACTTGGGGGGGGATGCCCCCCCCGGCGGGGCCTTTGGGGGAAAAAAAAGGGTCTA